CCCCCAAATCCATTCTGGACCCCCCAGCAGGAGCCCATGGAAGCCCGGGGTAACTGGTTTCAGATTGGCAAAATCTCCCGACTAGTTGTAACTGGGAAGCCAAAGGCCAAGTTCCGGCTTGGCTGCAGAGCAGGTGTTCACAAGATGAGGGGGGAGAGGAATTACACGGCAGTTCTCCTCCTACCCACACCAGAAACAAACAACGCGTTTCCGGGCTTCTGTGTACCCTGCTTGTTTATCCGGGCTTCTGTGTACCCTGCTTGTTTATCCGGGCTTCTGTGTACCCTGCTTGTTTATCCGCTGGGAAACGGCTGAAGTAAATATGCTTTAACCACCTCCCGGGATGGAAGGTGCGTCAGGACCTCCCAGCGTGCTGTGACCCTTGGGCCTGCTGGGGCCACTTCAGCAGACGCGCAGGCACAGATGTGTGGTGACCTCGACCTGCTCACTTCTTTCACCAGGGAGTGACCTCAGCCAGGGTTCTCGGTCCAACCAGCGAGCCCCTCACAGCAGTGCTTGCAGTGGTCACTCAGCCCTGACCCCCTCCCTCCAGTAATGAGCTAGATCACAGCTGACACGCGCCTTCTGCAAGCGGCAGCCACTTCCCACAAGTGTTCCTCAGTTTACCCCAAGGCCCACTTCTCTGGGGCCGAGGCCTTCAGAGGTCATGCCCTATCTGCTATTTATGTATGTCCGACATAGGTCCCTCAGGGGTCTTTGCCTGGTCTCTCTAATCCAGGTTGTCTCCTCGGTCAGCTGACAGGCTTTTACTGAGCACCCCCAGTGCTGGGCAGGAGTTGGTGCCCGTCCCTGTAGCCGAGCTGGTCTCACATCCAAACACAGCACCGAGGATGGTGGCTGAGCAGTCGTGGGCATGCCTGTTTCTGATTTTGGCACAAATGAGGCTCACCTGTTGATCTTAACCTTGGATCATCCTTGGGCCAAGTCTTATCTTTCGGTAATGGCTTTCTGGGGCCCCTCAGAGAAAGACTTGAGAGTCAGCAATGAGGCCCCATGTTCTACCTATTGCCTCATCCCCATCACAGGGCTCCTTGTGTTCCTGTCCTCTTGGGGGGGGGTTCCCGATGGTCTACCTCCCAGTCATCTAGAACTTTCAGCAGCCCAGCTTTGAGAGCCCAGGCAGCTTGGAGACATACGCTGTATAGGTTAAGTCATGGGAAAACACGCAATGCCCAAGGAGACAAAACTGTGGGAAAGACCGGACGCTCAAGCAGCTGGACTTGGATGTCCAATTGCCTTCCATGATACAAGGTGCCACTTGGAATGGGTGGGGGGTGTTGGGGGGTGAGTAGGTCAGGTGTGCCCTCCAGGTGTGTGCCTGGATGAAGTAATGCAGGTACAATCCCACTTGGGCTCTGGGGGGGACCAGTTCCCCAGCACACAGCTGCAGCCTGCTAACAGGAAGCACTCAATCCTTCTGAGGATGTCAGAGGATCAACTGAGATGGCATCTGTGAGTGCCTAGCTCAGTGTCTGGTACAGAGACTGTGACAGATAAGCATGATGGCATCAGGCCGCTGTTAGCCAATTCTAAGGTGGCTGGAGCAGGGCAGGGCCAGGGTGGCAGTGGATGACATTCAAAGGCACAGAGGGAATCGGAACTCTATGCCAGTGAATGCCGTGCCTGCATCCATCTCCAGACAGGGCGAAGGCCAAGAGGATCAGGGCCGGAGGGTGTCCCAGCTATTGGGTTCAAGTAAATAGAGAGGGGTTTGAACATCAGCATCCTGACTATTCAAGGCCAAGGCCTGTGGCACAGGCAATGAGAAGCCACCTCAGGGTAGGCCCCTCAGTGCTCCGTCTGGGGCCCAGGCCAGATGGGGCTGAAGCTAGGAGCAGAATCGGGGCTCATGTGCCCGGCAAGCTGTGCCAGCTAAGCCCGTGCCAGCCCAGCCAAATTTGAGTTATATCAGGAGAAGAGATCTGTTCAGAAAACTCACCCATCTCTGCATATTTGCATGTTCTATTTCGAGGTTCTTCCTGCTCAGCCCACCCCCCCTTTGCTTCCTAGAAAAGTTCTCGTGATCAATTCCAACTTCACCTCTGCTGAACTGAAAAGGCTCTCACTCAATCCCTCCTCCCCAATAAGCACCTCTCCCGCATCTTCACTGACAGGGTTCTCCCGAAAGTGGCCTGCCCTCCCCCATCAGTCCTCACCCCTACACTCTGGTTGCTGCTCCACTAAAACATAGGCCCAGTTCATCACCCCTGCAGGCCAGGCCTTCTGGGGCACCAACAGCCAGGCCCTGCTGCGGTAACTCGAGTTCCTGCCTTCCCAGAAGCCAGACGCTGCCCACTCCCGCTTCCCATGTCCGGCAGCCCCCACTTCCTAGGAAGGTGAACCCGAGAGCTGCTCTTCCTCTGGGGACCCCTAGAGAGCTCAGTGACCTTCTCCATGACACACGCCATCTCCAGCCCAGAAACTCCCACCGGTCAGGGTGGCCTGGCTGCCCCACGGCACCTGGAGCTCAGTGAGCCCAAGGCTCTCATCGTCCAGCCCCCAAACGCAGCCCCTCATTCTCACTGCCCCGCCACCCAGCCACCCATGAACCCCCAGATCCAGTCTTCCTATAACAGCACACACACAGGCACGCACCCACACTCCCCCTGCTGCAGCTCTAGCTGAGGCCCCATCATATCCCATCTGGAGGCAACCAAGTCTCCTAGCTGGTCTCCCAAGCCCGTCTCACCTCCCACAAATCCAGCCTCCACACAGCTGTCAAATTCATCTCTCCCACTGCCCTGCCTAAAGCCCCCCAAAGGGCATTTTTTGCTCTCAGGATAGACGCCAAAGTTCCTCAGCCTGATCTGGCCCCCACTTCCCCCCCACGACCTTTGGAGTGAAATATACCCATCTCTAGGTCAACGTATCCACTGCCTCACATGACCGGGGACAAATGAACGAGCCGCTCTGAGCCACTAGCCTTCCTCAGATGGAAAATGCAACTACTAACAGTCCACCTGCTTTTCCTGAGCCTGAGGTGGCCCTCCAACCTCCTCACCATTGTGTACGTGGAGGGCCACGGCGCAGGTCATTCCCAAGTCCGTCATTGTCCCACACAGGCCTCCCTGCCCTGCCTCAAGCCGACAACTGTCCCTGACCATCCAGTCACCACACCCACAGCACAGCACCCTTCCCGACACAGCAGTCTACTCCCCCCTCCACTACTCACCCTCTAAAGCCCAGCTCCCTGGCACAGCTGAAAATGACCACCTGGGCCCCTCAGTGCGCCCCAACCTCCAGGTCCACAGGAGCCACGACTTCCAGCGTCAGCCCCTGCAAGCTTCCCCTGGGCCTGGGATGCCCTTTCCTGCCCAGCCAGCCCGGCCTTTCGGGCTTCTCTCTAGTCTAGACGCCCTCTCCAAGCTTCTTTCAGCACCCTTTCCCGTGAGCCCCCAGGGCTCGCCAGGCTCTCCTGTGAGCATGTGGCTATGTGGACCAACCACACGCTCGTGCAGGCAAGGGTCCTGCCATGTTTGCCAGGCACCACTCGGTTCAGGCGGACTGAAGGAGTGGGGCTTTGGGTTCAGAGGACAATGGTGAGGATGGTGTTCTTTGGCCCACGGAAAGCCCCAGGCTCCGTGGGGTGCTTATCAAGCCCACGTTTACTGTTTCAGACAGGCCCACAGGAAGCACCGCACCAACTCGCCAAGACCCTGAAGGAAAGCTCTTACAAAGGAGGGGAATTCTGAGGCTGCGCATTTCTGGGAAACAAACTGACTGGCATTTGGGAGTCAGCTCCAGGCATGGGGCAGGGTTCCCCAAAGTTCTACAGACTAGGAAGCCCCAGAGCCTTTGAAGGCAGTCCTTGGGGACAGGGGGAGGGCTGCCAGAGTGGAAAGCAGCTCAGGGTGGGCGGGCTGTGGTATGGGGACAGAAAGGGCTGTGTCAGCCCCATGCGACCACAGCAGGCCCGTGGGAATGGGTCTGGTCTTTGTTCCCACCACGGCCAAGACACCGAGTGCACAGAGTCCTTGCTCTCCGCTCCCCACCACAGGCTGTGCCCCAAGTTCTGACCCTGTGGGGGGGCTGAGGGCACCTTCAGGAGGCGGGAGAGAGCCATGTGCCGGCAGGACCAGGTCTACAGGAGTGGCCCTGCCGAGTTCCTCACTAGCAGCACCACCGATAACTTCATTCCGCAAAAAGACAGGATGCTCAGAACCAAAGTGAGCAGGCCAGGCCCGGGGTGGGGCAGGCTGGGCCAAGGTGGGGCAGAAGTAACCCGGGAGCAGGTCTGTTTTGTGGAGGCCCCGACTGTGGGTGCTTGAGAAGGTTGGCAGAGGCTCCCCGCCTCCCCCAACCACCTTAGTTCCCCCAAAGAACCACACCACCACCTGAGGGAGAGAGTGTTTTTCCTAAAGTCCTTGTCAAAACACATGAGAGCCACTTGCTCCACTTGGCTCCGCCACAGGGAAGGAGCATGCGCTGGCAGATGGAGCAGCAGCTTGGGGGTCGGTGCCCCCTTTTCCACATTAGATGGTGCCCGGCTAACGGTGGTGGTGGTGGTGGTTAGTACTGTTACTTAACTGCTCTTGTATTTACACCTTCAGCACCGGGAAGAGGGCACAGCGCCTGGCACCACTACTGATCGGAACATCGCCGGACACTGGGTGGGGCGAGGCCAGGGGATGGACACGGAATTCTCTGGGAGAGGGAGTGACACAGGGAAGCAGCCTTATCTGCTCGGGCTGCGCACCCACTTACCAGACTATGGCCCTCGGGAGCACAGGCCTCTGCCACTAAAAGCAGCCACCCTGCCAACTGGGCAGCAGCCCTGTCCTAGCCTTGAGCACACCCTGGGAATGCCACGCCCCCAAAGGACCCAAAGGACCCAGGGCTATTGCTAGAAACTTCTCCTGCCGATGAATGTGGACATCCCATGACCTGCCTCTACAACTCACCCATCCAGGGCTGTTAAGTGCCCCAAGACCTCCACAAGCTTAGATCGGCCAGAGGAGGCATGCACTGGACACGGCAGGCAGGTGGCCATCGGCTACGTGTATTGGGGAGAGGGGACCCGGAGCCACCTTCATGTGTGGCCTGACGAGGGGGGTGGGGGGCTGGGAGTTCAGGGGGCTCCTCCGGCAAAGATGAGCTCCAGGGCTGCTTGGATGTCACCCCCAGTGGCCTGCAGGGCCCGCAGGCTCAGCTCGTCATCCTGGATGCCCATGTCACGCAGCTGCTGCAGCTGGGGCTGCCACTGGCTCTGTGGAAAGACGGGCATGCATGGCTGTTAGCTGGGACCTGAAGACCACTCACTCAAGTCTTTCCTTTGGGTGGGGGGAGACGGGACAGAAACTGGGGGTTTCTTCAGCAATGTTCCTGACAGTAAGTTCCACAGGACGGGGTTTCTGGGAAGGCTAAGAGGAGGGCCGCAGAACAAACGGTTGGGTGAGAAAAAAGGAAGCAGGAACACAAGGAGCACAAGTGACCTGAGTCTGAACCCCAGGACACTGGAGCATTCACCCTACATCTGTGTACACACAGGAGGGGCTGCCCAAAGTTCCTGGGCACGTGGGAGGAAAAGCTAATGGATTTTTTTTTTAGGTGTGCGTGCGTGCGTGCGTGTGTGTGTGTGTGTGTGTGTGTGTGTGTGTACCAAAACCAACCTGCCCTCTGCCATCGCATCAAGTACAACTCACCATGCCCCTATGTTTGTCTTCTAAGACTATACATCTTTATGGGGACAGACGACCTCATACTTCTGCTGCTCAGCCCGTGTTTCACCAGCTGACCCTCAGTCACGTGACGTTGGCAGCCCAACACCTAACGCACAGCGCCACCAGGGCTCTGACACACACGCACACACACACCATCCTACCCACACAGATGGAGGTGAAGACACTGTGAGCATGGACGCAGTTGAAGAGATCTTTTCCCGGCCGCGCCCTGGTAATTTTGTTTCTTGGGGAAACATATGTATTCGTTCCTTCTACTTCCAGTCTGTGCCCTTCCCCCCCCTTGTTTTAACACAATCCTCCTGATCTTCCGGAGCAGTACACGGAGGAAGCCTAACTGTAAAGTACCCCATCCTGTGGATATCCTGAAATGCAACTGGACCAGTTCCCATCTCTTGCTATTATAAACACTGCTGCAGTGACGGACCATACAAACGTCACTTCCACACGCACGTACCTGAGTTCCCGGAATAAGGGTAAGTTCCTAAAGACGGCCTGCTAAGTAGCTCGGGGCTGTGGGGCCTTCTGTATTTCCTTTCCAGTGCACTGTCTGCTCACGCCCTTTGCCTGTTTCTCTACGGGGCTAGGACCCCTACACACTAGCAAGATTTCTCCTCTTCAAATGGGTAGCACAGCCTTTTGCATTAGTACTCTTCAGACTTGGCTTGTTTTTGTTTGGTTTCCTATGCAGGAATTTTCATTTTTTGTGAACTCAAAATGTTTTATTCTTAGACTTGTGGCTTCCTGAATTCCAAGAGAATAAAGCTGTAGTAAGTCACAAAAACAAAATGGAGTCGCGGAGAGGAGATGAGCCAGTCAGGGTGCAGTACAGCAGCGATGAAACACACAACTGTCCTCTAGTTCTTTAATGCTTCCCCCTACCTCCCTCGCACTGTCATGATCCCAATTCTACCTTACAAATCCGGCTAGACCAGAGCATGTACACGGGTACAGATAAGAGCTGGAAACACAGGGAATCCAGGATAAATAAACCCCTCAGGGCCAATAATGAGACTAGCCATAGCAGGAGGGGAAGGGGAAACCGATCACAATGATCGATCTATAACCCCCTCCCAGGGGAATGGACAACAGAAAAGTAGGTGAAAGGAGACATTTGTCAGTGTAAGACATGAAAAAATAATTTATAAATTATCAAGGGCTCATGAGGGAGGGAGGGTGGCGGGGAGAGGGGGAAAAATGAGAAGCTGATACTAAGGGCTCAAGTAGAAAATGTTTTGAGGATGATGATGGCAACAAATGTACAAATGTGCTTGACAAGTGTTCAGCTTAGGTGGGAAAAGAGCCAGTTCACCAGTGGGTAAGAGAAGGCAGTGGGGATGGAGTATTTATCCAGACAGGCTGGCAGGGGTGACATTGCTTACACACATGCACCACCCCACCCCCACCCCCACCACCCCAGCTCCAATCCACTTTCCAGGCCAGGTAGAGCCGAGGCGGTGATGTCCAGCTCAGAGCAATGATGAAACAAGGACTGGTTGCCTGCACGTTGTGCCCTGGTCCCCCTCCAGCCCACAAGGACCCCATGGCTTAGCAAGAACACCCGGGCTTGAACCATCTGGACTACACAGTGGCTTTGTGAGCCTGGGCAAGCGACAGGCAGGTCATGCGCACCCTAGGGCTTATCACTGTGAGCAGGGAAAAGCCCACCCTGAAGCAGCCAGCTGGCGCACGGTGGCCGGCCCACTCAGCTGCAGGGGGCCTTTCTATGAAGCTGAGGGCATAGCATCTCCCAGGACCGCCCGATCAAGGGTGTCTGCTCAGCCCGGCTCCCACTCTCCTTCCCTGGGCTCGCCTCAGGACCTTCTACAGGAACACCTCCCTCCCTGTATTCGCTCCGACAGGGCACAGCCTCTGCTCAGAAGCCTTCTGTCCAACCCCCAACACCCGTACCCTGCTTGGCTAACTTTTTATCAAAACAACATTTTGATGCTTGGGCAAATGCACAGAATAAATTACCCACTCAACAAGGGACACAGTCTGTCTCAGGACCTCAGGTGGCAACCCTTCAACGGAAGGGCACGTTCCCACTCCCTGCCTGGGCTCCCAGCCCCATTCTTTGCAGGCCACAGTTCCTCGTTGGCTGCTGTCCACTTTATAGACCTACTGTCCGGCTGAAAGGTGACCCCCAGGAATGGGTTTAATTCCACGTGTGAAGGGGGCCTCAGGGGCTACAGTCTCCGGTGTTTCACCCCTCTCCATCCGACCACGAAGTCTAATTCTTAAGACCTGGAATTCTGTTCTCCATTTCCTCCTACTCTGTCCTCCACTGAGGTCCAGGTCAGAGTCGGCCGTGGGGCATGCACCATCCGCAGGCCAGCAGACCATGTGGTTTGTGATTGCTCTGGATTGTTTCCGTGAGTCTGTGATTTCCCTCATTCTTTTTTGATCCAGATAAGCAGAGACCAGAAACTGTATCTCAGACGGTCCCGTGAAGCGTTAAGATCGCAGTCTCTACTCACCAGAGTAGGATGTACAACTGGGGTCTTTAAGGATGACTATTTTTGCCAACTGGCCTAGATGTGCCCCAAGACTAAGGTCCTAAGCCCTTAATGCAGTGACTTGGTCCCTCGAGGTGGTTGGTTGTGGCCAAGATGTTGGTAGAACTTTGGATGTTCTACGACAGACCTGGGCATATCTGCAGCACGTCAAATGTCCACTGCCAGACCTAGATGCCAAACCCACGCCTGTTCACCTCACAGACCTCTGTCTCCACTTGCAAATGACCACTGCGGGGGCTGTGCAGGGAGTAACACTGAGCACAGTGACCCTGACTCTGGGTCCCTCCCAGGGTCTTCCTTTGTGTCTTTCCCCTATGGCGCACCACCCTCCCTTCCCCCAAGTTGGCACCCGTCTCCTGCCCAGACAGTGAATGCCTCCCATCCCTGGTGACCAAAGAGGGTTTCTGTCTGTGTGTACACTGTTTTGAGACTTCTCTGATAGTGGGCCCAATACGACCTTTGTCCTTGTGTGATTGACTGATTTCACTCAGCAAGATCTCCCCCAGACCCCTCTTGTTGAGAAAGGTTTCCTACATTCTCGGTGTTCTTCAGTGTTTGCTCATAGTGTTCCGTTTTGTTTCCGTACATACTTCGCTTGCCCATTCAGGCAGGCACTAGGGTGGTTCTTTCTGCTACAACACACATGGGTCTGCAGACATCACATTTGTTACAGCTTTTCCTTCTCCAGGATATACAAGGCAGCTTCAAAAAGCTGGGTGAAAATGTGAAATTAAGAGATAATGGGATTTTCCCACAAAGCCCCCTCGTATTTCTAACCTTTTAAGGAAGTGCCATCCTCTGCTGCTGTGGGATGTAAAAAGCCTGTTCCCCAGCTTTGTCTCCCCCAAAGAGATGCTAAGCATTAGAGGCTGTTTGCCAGCACATGGTATGAGGTCAGATGCTTAGAGATATTCTCCCTGAAGGCATCTGGTCCACCTTAGGAGAGGCTCACCCCCTGCTGATAAGCATAGTAATTGTTTCCATGGAGAGCTAGAGAAGTGGTCAAGCCTGCCCCGTGACATCCAAAATTAGGCTGCCATCCTGAATCTAGGATTGGCCCATCTTGTCACATGTAGACCCCAATCCCTTCCCTTCCTATTGCATGTATACCCATAGATCACCCCCTCTCATTACTGTATTACCTGTAGTACAGCCCCTTCCTGTAACATATGTCTTTACCTGTAATTAGGGGGCTTGCACACTCCCAAAGGTATATAAGCCTTGGTTAGAAATAAAGAGCTCTATCCCCTGTCCTCTCCACCCCCCATCCTCTCTTCTGTTCCTCTCCCCCTGCCTCCTTCCCCTCCCTCTCTCCTGCCCTCTGGTCTTCCATCTCCACGTAGACCACCAAGCGGGGCTGAGATGAGCATGCTACCATGAAATGTGTCCGACTCCATTATTTCCATCTCTCTTCTATCCCTCTTATTCTCTATGACTTTACTATAATCTTTACTTCTTATCGCTGTACAATTGCGCCTACTGGACCCGTGATGATGTGTGAGAGGCGGGCTCCCCTGACATTCTGCATTCTGCAAAGCAGTTGTCTCGGGTTTTATGGTCCCACTAACCGTGTGGTCTCTTCCAGTCTCCCCACAGCCTCGCCAGCATTTATTGTTTTCTGTTCTTGTGATCACTGCTCCTATTCCCAGGATGAGCTGGGCAAGTTATTTTCATTTGCATCTCTCCAGTGGCTATTGACGGGCCCTAGTTACAGAGTGGGTTGCGCGCTCACTAGGAGCTCTGCAGGAGACAGGTGAGGCTGTCTGGCTTCATAGAGATTTACGTTCTTGGAAACCCTGCAGAGCAGGGCTACTCTGTCCTTTGGAGTCACAGGGGCTCCGACTTGACTCGACAGTGGTGGGCTGAAGAATAGTTAGTGATCAGGAGCTTCAGTGTCTTCTTTGGTGAAGTGTCTGTTGACGTCCTTTGCCCCTTTTTAAATGGGATTGTCTTTTTGTGATTGAGGTGTTACACTTTTCTATGGATTTGAGAGATCAGTCCCTCCTCAGGTTGTGGCCAAAACATTTCCCCCAGTTTATAGTGTCCGTGTTTCCTCTCTTGGAGAAGCCTCTTGATGCCCCTTAGCGTCGAACTTCTAGCAGTTCCAGTCACCACCTAGCTTCTCAGACCAATTCTTGGCCAATCAGGCTCACACATCCCCCCTTCCTCAGAACGGTTTTGGCTGGTGTTAAGACCTCCAGCTGGGCTGGAGTTCTCTCCTCACTGCTCCCCAAGAAGAGTACCTCCCTGTGGCCCGCTCACCCCGTCTGTGGACTCAGGCTTCGTACATGTGCTCCCTGACACAGACAGCCAGCAGGCCCCGAGTGCAGGAGTGGAGACCAGGGGAACCAAAGCCCTTGCTGGGAGCAATTCTCACCCATCACTGGCCACACCCCTGCTGTGCTGGTGTGAAGCATGTCGAGTGGGAAGGGCTTTCAGAGCGCTGAGAAGTGCTTAGAACCTGTGACGGTCAAGGATTGTGTCAACCAGACACCCGGGGTAAGGGGAGGCGTGGAACCCAACCTAGCAATGGAGTCACAGTCTGATGACACCTCCTTGGGGGAGTTGCCTTTTGTATAAAAAAGTGACCAAGCAGAGTTGAATCCTGTCTGGCTCCCTGCCTTCCACCGCCTGGGAATCTGTGTCTGCCTCCAGGGGGAACCCCCACGTGGGCCACCCAACCCTGAGTGCGCTCACCCTGCCACTTTCCCACCAACCCTGGAATAACAAGACTGCACCCATCGGCCTGTGACCCCTGCACGGTACTTCATCTTGCTGTGCCACGGGCCTGCAGAGGGCTCCGGCGAGCCTCGAGCCTGTGGACCTGGGTTAGACTGGGCTGGGACGCCTTCTTGCTATAAAATTACATCTAGATAGAAGTTCTTTGTGATACATCTATGGGTGCCACTCGTTTTCTCTCTGCAGACCACCCAGCCGGCCTGACACAGAGTCCAATGTAACATGGAAGTCCCATGGACAATAGGACGTGGGGAAGACTGACCTGGAGACTAGGCTGCCCGGAGGCCTGCAGAGCATGTTGTAGGGCTTGGCTGAAGAGATCATTGGTGATGGGTGTCCCTGACTGGACACTGGAGGACATTGGTGAAGTGCCTGAAGAATGGCCCTAAAAGACAAATCAGTTTGGTCAGTGTCACCCTTGGGGCCACCACACTTTAACAGCAGATACCCACTGCTGACACATTGATCTTGCAGTGAGGTACCTCACTCCTAGCCCCCGCCCCTTCCCCAGGGGCATGCCTAGGAAACCACCACCAAAAGGGGCCCAAAAGCTCTCTGCGGAGCAGGGGAGGCTCTACTTGCTGCTGCTCTGGGGCTGGGAGGGGAGAGACCATTCTCAGCCACCAGAGGGCCTCCCTCACGCAAGGCTGTGCTGAACTCCAGCTTCCTAATCCCACAGGCAAGCAGGAAAGAACACTCCCCATGCCACCCCAGGGTGCGCAGTGAAAACCCCCAGCAGAGTGCAGCACGACTAGGCCCAGTGCCAGAGTGAACCGCGGCAAACCCGTCCTCCCACGAGGAGCTGAGACCTTCCCAGCCTCTCTCTGTACCTGGGTGCCGGGAGTTGGCGTGTGCGAGCTGCTCTCCGGAGTGCTGGCCAGGGCCAGGGCGGTGGCCAGCTCACTCTGGGTGATGGGGCGAGGGCCAGCGGCTCCGCTGTACCCCAGGGAGGCTGGGCGGGAGCTGGGTGCGCTGCTAGAGGGCGTCGACCTGGTGCTCTGGAGAAAGGGGCACTGGGATCAGGGACATGGTACTGCAGAATTCCCCGCTGGGCCCCAGCCCCATTCCCAGAGCAATGGGAGACCTCCTAGGCTTCCAGGCTCAGGAAAAGGTCCAGAAAAACAGAATCCTATGATGTGGGCTCGGCCACCTCCCAGGCCCCAGGTAGCCCCAGCAGTAGGCAGCCAGCCAGCCAGCCTGCTTACCGGGTGAAAGTCATCCTCGTCATCAGAGAGCCCTTCAAACAGGAAGCCACCTGAAGGCGGGAAGAACAGATTTCAGGGGGAGGCTCAGAGAGGCATGGGCGAGGCTCCCAAACCTCAGCTTGGCTCAAGTGACTCTCCAAATGTGTACTTGCATCCCGCCCATTAGAAAACTACAGGACAGATGCACTTCCTGACTCAACCCACGAGCTCCCCAGCAACGCCCTGGGCCAGAGCTTTACATAGATATACAGGCGCGGCTGCCACCACCACCCCCACCACACCCCCACCCCGGGACCCACCTTCCCTGCTCCCAGGGCTCACCTGGCATGTCCCGGTAGGAACTGGAGGGCATGCTCCGGGAAGAGGAGTCTGCCCCGGGCAGTGGGGTGCTGCCCGCCACTGAGTGCAGAACCAGCACAATGGCGTTGACCAGAGCCGGGTGGGCAGGCACCAACCTGGCAGGAGAAACACAGGGTGACTGGGAAGCACAGAGACCTCAGCTGTGGCGTGGCGGGGGACAGGGCTCCCGGGTGGCCCTCATGACAGTAAAAGCCCGCAGGCAGATGCCATTAGCAGCTTCCTCCTGGAGGCGAAAACTGAGGATACATCGAAAAAGTATAGAAACCTTGACCAACCCCAGGGTTACAAGATGTGTCATCTCTACAGACACACATCGATCTGGTGTGAGCGCAAGTTGAACACTCATCAGTAAAATGATTGCATCCATGAAGGGATCACTTTGGTAATAAATATAAGTGCGGTCAAAAGTTCTTAGAAAGTAAACATCAAATGTAAAGACAAACAACGCCAAGGAGATCTTGTCAGACCGACCGACCCAAGTGACCCTCACAATACATAGAGCCCAATCTCTCAAAGGTTGCAGAACGCTAAATATCACATAGTTTCATGCATAAGGTAACAGTGTGTAATTATGTCCTTTTTAAAGAAGCTGTCTTTTAGAGAAAATGCCTGGTTTCGTTCACGTGTCAATCTGACGCGTGTCCAAAGACAGAGGCATGTAGGAAATGTATAACATAGAACTCTCAGAACGTGAAGCTACTGCTTCTCGGCACATCCTCCGTCCGGGTCTACACACTTCCAAAGGTGGCGCCGCCCTCTCACCCATCCCCAGAAAAGCCTGCACTCATCTGTTTGCAGCAGCGCTGGCACCCTCACGTCCTTTGAGGTTTGCAAACCAAGAGGAAGTGGAAAGGGGAGAGACCAGGGCTGTAAGATGGGTGTACCCGGTAAGGGCAGATGGGTGCACCCGGTAAGGGCTCCCAAGAAAACCCCGAGACAGCCTTGGTGCCCTTGAAGAACGAGCAAGTGGTGTGTCACGGGGGAGAACTCCTGCGTGCAACTTTCCTGGATGATTTCTCACCAATACCGTTTTTCATCTTCGTAAAATTGCTTCCTAATATGATTCTGTGATTGTCCTGTGTCCTTTGAGAGAATCTATCAAGAATACTTTTGGGGACCCCATTAACCTGCAGAGCTGGCCTCCCTGTCTTAAATTTAACTGGCCCAGGAGATTCCATCGGAAGCCACTGTCTTGCTTTGGGGACCTGGTTTTCTGGAAGGCCTCTAAGAGAACTTGTTTGCAGCCGTCACTGATCACACACAGTCGGGTTCAAACATGTCCCTTCTGGCCGTAATTCCTCGTGTGATGTGTGGTAACTCTGGACTCAATTTTTGGAGGGTGTTCTCTGCTACATCAGTGGACAGGATTTGGAGGGGTATGACCTTAGTTGAGGGTGTGACTTGCTTCTCTGGGGGCATCTTTAGACTCTACGAGAGGGTGTGACATGTGACATCCTCCTTTGTTCCCGTGGTAGAGGGAATGGCAGGACTCTGCTCCAGTCGAGAGACCCTCTCGGAAACTCACAGGGGCAGCTCTACCCTGTCCTACAGGGGTGCTCTGCGCCAGCATGGACCCGATGGCAGGGAGTCTGGGTTATGCTCTGCTAAAAGGCAAACGCTGCACCTTCATCAGACCCATTCTTCTGCGTCCCGACTGAGCTCTGGTAGAAGATGGCCTGCTTTGGCTTTCGGAGACTTTCTTTGCAATGCTACAATGAATCACAAGACAAAAGGGATCATACCCAAAGGAGAAGTGGGGGGAAATGGAGCCGAATAGCATCTTCAAAGAGGTAGACATTTGAAGCATCTTTAATCTCCAACTCCTTATGAGCAGCCTGGTGTTAATCTTTCTAGAGGAGCTCAGTCCCCCAAGAGCACATCTGCATGAGCGCCGCACTTTCCCTTTCATAAGGGGGCCACACTTACGTATCCAGCATGCTGGGATCAGCGAAGACAGAGAAGAGGTCCTTGTCTTGAAGAACCCCTGAAAGAGAACAAGGCTCCCTTCAGAGACTGCGCTGATGGCCAGACCCAGAAGGGTCAGCACTCTCCGTCTTACCACTCCTGCTTGTTCCCCAGGGGACGGGCCCACCTCCCACCGCCCTCCGCACCTGCACCACACACACAGTACCAACCGCCCCAGAGAGCTTCTTCCCTACATCTGGGTGCCCCCCTAATCTAGGAGGCTCACAGGAGTCTTCCCAATGGCTGTGGTTTGGGCTGACCATGTTAGCCCTCCAAGGGGACGAGCTCTAAGAGGGCTGGGCAGCTCTGACACATTTTAGCTGCTTCAACTCCTCACACGACCAGCGACTCTTTAAAACAGGGCCAAAGTCTCTTTAGGGTAACTGCTCTCTCTTTTGGCAACAATTCCTACTCCTGCACTTACCGAGAGCAATGGGGTCACTGCTGAGGCCCGGGGTGGCCACAATGATCTGGTCCAAGGACTCCTTATTGCTGAGCATCTTAAAGACCTGCAGGGAAAATGGGGAATGCTAAGTATCCCATGCAGCGCGACCCACTTCCCAAATGCCCATGCTTTCCACGCAGGCTTGCACAATGGAGTGACAAATGCTTCCTGTGAGCGCTCCACAATGGAACAGCAGCAGCCCCCGGAAACACATGCGCCTCCTTTTATTCTGGCTAACTGGAGGAGAAGGCCGCAGCAACAAAAGGCAAGCCCAGCAGTAACCCTTCCATCTCTGGTCCCTTCCCATCCCCCTCCCCCCTCCCCCCCTACAGTTCTAATGCCCCCAAAATAACAGAATTCATTAGAAGCCCAAGAACAAAGGGTCTGTTTGAGGCCCCTGGCATCCTCTTCCATCCCCATTCCATTATCCTGTCACATTCCCTGGAATTCCTGAGCTGTGCTAATTTGGCCAGTAGAGGCTCTGACAAAAAGGCCTCTGGGCCGCCCATGTCCCCAGAGAAGCAATCCAGGCAACAGGGCCAGGGGCAGGCAGCGCTGACACCAGAGGCTCTGGACCCTCTGCCTGCCCCCACAGTTGGCCCATCAGCTCACTTTCAGGAGAGGCTGGAGCGTCGTCATTTGAGGGAACCAGCACTGTCCAGCCAGCCGGACGAGAGGGTCTTTGGAGAAGACAGGGCTCTACTGAGGCCCACAGGCAGGGCTAAAACTCCCCGAGGCACTCTTGGTTGCCATAGCAATGGGCTTCCAGAACCCACTCTACCCCCCTCCCAGTTCCATCCCTCCCTCTCTCCGGCAGCCAGGGCAGGCGGCTGGGGCGGCCTGCGCTTGGAGCACACTCACCGCCTCTCGGTAGGAGGAGCTGCCGTGCAGGGCGGTGTGCAGCACCCGGAACTCCCTCAAGGCAGCCGCTCTGTCCACAGGCTCTGCAGTGGAGACACTCACGTCACCCTCCGGCTCCGGCCCTGGTCCAGCCACCAACCCAGGCATGACTCCAGCACGTGCCCACGTGCAACTTGGTCTCACGTCCCCTCTTTCTCATGGCCCAGTGCCGAGGTTGGAATGCCCACTCCAAAAAGCCCATTCAGGCCACGGATGGGAACACTTCACTCTCTCTGAAGAATTTTAGTAAATTAAAAAGACACACACAAAAACACAGGCAAACAAATTCAAGTTTCAGCAGAGGAGAATGTTAATGACCACATGAAAGAGAATACGCTGATCAGTCTCCCACGCTGGGAGTTCAAGAGGAAGTGTATGCAACTCGGGCTCCTCCTGTGCACTAGGGATCGACCCACCGCCACCATCAATGTGGACTCACAGTGACCCTGCAGAGCCTGTATAGGCAAAGTATAGGGTTTTGGAGAGTGGAAATCTTCATAGACGCAGATGGCCTCATTTTTCTCCCACGGAGCAGCTGGGAGATCCGAACCGCTGACCTTGTGGTCAGCAGGTCAACACTTCGCCCGCTGTGCCACCAACACTCCTCGTATATTTGGTTAAGAAGATGTCGTCAACTCCGCAGACTCATATATGCAGTCATTTTAACTAGGGACTGCCAACCATCTTCACCTTATGGAGCTATGTTGACACAATATGTGAAGAGAAAGAAATAGAACAGAGTTGTACGCACATTCTCTGGTACAGCTCTGCAGAATGTGTCACCGTGCATATGGTCCAAACTGGATAGGGACATGATGAAAGGCACTTAAGTCGTGGGCAACTGTCTTTCTCCTTGATATCTTCTTTCAGGCTTGAACTTAAAAGACACACTTGATAGCAAGTGTCTCACTGGGGCCCCAAACCCCTTTCTGACCTCTGGACAATTGCTCTTCTTCTCTGTGGGGGAAGTCTGGGAGTTGCCTTCGTTTTACTTGATTATCTTGCCATTTTAGGCCATCTGCCCATGTCAGCGGGGAGGACACTGAGGTTACGGGGAAGGGTGGGAGGTGGGAGGTTCTCTCTGGATCACACTTAAGAAGTGTGGCTCTTCTCCCCTGGGAACATCGCTTGTGACTGAACAGATGTGTGTATGTGGATTGCCCACTTCCAGGTGAACTAGCACTGCTGTGATTGCTCAGTGTGGTAGCCATATTCTTACCTACAATCCTAGTCATCTCCAGAAAAATATTCCTCTTCGTTATCTAATGAATTCAATCAACAAACAAGCATGTACTAGACGTGCACGCCTCAGCCAGCTTGGGGCAAGGGACGGAATAAAAGAGTCTGCCGGCAAGACAGCAGACACAGGAGGCGGGAGAGAGCAGACCGAACACACATGATGCTGAGGGTGCCAGCAGAGCTGTGTGTGCATCCCGGGCACCAGGAACACAGAGGCAGGGAAGCACACTCAGAATGACCAGGGCACCATGCTGCCTCCAAGTGGAGCCCATTTGCATGGGTGTTTACAGTCGAGCAGCTGTTTCCTGGGAGGAGGAAGCGTGCCACGCCAAGTGAGAAGGCTTGCCCAGCAAAGGCAGGGCGGGAAGATGAGAAGAATGTGGGCTTTGAAGGATCTGCGTCTTTGTGTGGCCCCAGCTCTGGACGCACATCCCTGCCCGCTGGACAGCAGGCCGGGTGAGATCCAGAAGCGCTTTGCAGCTGGCCCAGGAGAACCGAAGGGATCTGGGTGGGAGGGGTGTGACTGGCACGTTCTCGACAAGGCTTTAATCCAGGGGGAGATCAGGACACTGCTCGCTTTGAGAAGCGGGGGTTCAAGGATCAAACCGCGGCCACACCTTCACAAAAAGTTTCTTTCCAGACCAAAGGTTCATTTTCACCTCCCAATTAAAGTCTGTTTGCATCAAAATTCATCTCTAAGCAGAAGGGAGGAATGGGACATTTACTATCTTAGTATTAATAATCAGCTAAAAGTAGTGTCTCAATAACATCTCTGAACTAATTTCCCCCTTTGGAAAGGGGAGGCAGCCAGCCCAGTGGAAGGACAGACACACTTTCTGTGCCATGAAGACTTGGGGGTCACATTCCAACTGTGGTGTTCCTTTCCTAAGCAGGCGACCGTGAAGAAGTGCCACTCCAGGCCCTTCCCTTCATCTACACAATGGTAATGCTGTTACTTACATCCCAAAGCCACTACAAGCTACCAGAAGGCAGAAAACCCAGCTCACAGATGCAACAGATGTTGCTTTCCTTCTACCAGCGCCCCTGCGCCAGAGGCCACCAGGGGCATACTTCAAGGTGAACAAGCTGGGTTCCCTGTTCCTGACATAGAATGTGCAGACGGGAGTCCTGGGCTGTCTCAATGAGAGGCCAGTGAAAGGACTTCCTATAGGAGCTGGTTGGGTGATTTGGATGAAAGTTTAAGGAAGAGGGATTTGGGGTATGAATTGGATGCTGTTAGGAAGTGGGGTTGATTTCATGACTGACTAGCTAGAACAGGGGTCTTCAAACTTTTTAAACACGGGGCCAGTTCACTGTCCCTCAGACCCGTTGGAGGGCCAAACTATAGTTTAAAAAAAAACTATGAACAAATTCCTATGCACACTGCACATATCTTATTTTGAAATAAAAAACAAAACGGGGCAAAAACACCCGGCAGGCTGGATAAAGGTCCTCGGCAGGCCCCATGTGGCCCGCGGGCCGTTTGAGGACGCCTGATCTAGAAAGATGCTCTCTAAATTCAGGTGAGGTATACTCAAGATTTCACTTTTGGCTCTTGTGGCCTTTGGGCTTGTTTAGCTTTTCTTCAGATTCAACCTAACTTTAGAGACCACATCAAGAACAGATTTAGTGCACTGGGCGCTAATGACCCAAGACCAGAGGAGTGATGGGAAGCTCTCAGGACGTCACCCAAGAAGAAAGCCAAAGGGAAGAAAAACCAAAACGGACGTCACGAGAGAGAGACTAAAGCAACGAGAAGAGAGGGGGACGTAAAAGAGCGGACCAGATTTCCAAGGGAGGACGGGCAGCCCAGCGACTCCAATGACAGGCGCAGAGGCCTGCAGTTAGCACGTGAAAAGGGAAGAACGAGCTCAGCATTCCCAAGCGGGAGGTTCAAGCCTCGCGTCCCCAATGAGAGCCACTGTGCCACCAGGGCAGTTTCGAGAGGCAGCATAGCATCGAGAACTGAGGGTCCTGAAAGAAGAAATCCAAGCGAAAACAAGGCTCCACCGACCGAATGAAAACCAATGGAAAGGTTCCAACACACTGGTGCGGCACGGGACGCACTCACTCACAAGGCCACGAGATTTGAAAGGCTGCTACCTGGGCAACTGACTGGAAGAGATCCATATTTGCACCCATTCCAAAGAAAGGTGATCCAGCAGAACGTTCAAATTATAGAACCGTATCATTAATGTTACCTCCACATAAAGTTATGCTGAAAAGCATTAAAAAAAATCATTGCAGCAGTACATCAAAAGAGAGCAGCCAGAAATTCATGCTGGATTTTATGTTTACTTGTGTTTCATTGCCTAGGTAAAGGCATTCTACTGTGTGGATCATATCCTTGGATACTATTGCTAAGAATGGGAATTTCAGAACACTTAATTGTGCTCACGCTGAACCTGCACACAGACCAAGAGGCGGTCAGTCCAACAGAACAAGGGGGCACTGGATGGTTTACAATCAGGAAAGCGATGCACAAACAGGCCTGTATCCTTTCCCCATACTTATTCAATCTGAACGCTGAGTAAATCACCTGGGAAGCTGGGCTACATGAAGGAGAATGGGTTGGGGGCGGGTGGGTGAGAGGGAGGGGAACTGGGGAGATCAGTGGATGCGGAAGTGGGGGAGCATTAGAGCTGATTGTGATGATGCATCTGCACCTCTCTTTAGAAGAGGTTTACTATGGAGCTGTAATGATATGTGAATATTACATCAAGAACACTATTAAAGAAACCAAACTTGAAGGAGGAAGAGTTCTTCCGTGGGGGCACTGAGTTCATTCGAATGGTGGTGGAGCCATTTGGAGGGACAGCAACAATGGTTGCACCACACGAAGAGCATCGTGAATGGCACTGAATTATACATCTTGAAGTTGTTGAATCGGCAGATGTTTCGTTTTGTATGTTTTTGCCAAAATTGAAAAAAAAAGTACATGAATAACAATGAGTACAGGGGAAAATATTTTCTAAAATTGACTGTGATAATGACTGTACAATTCTGGTTGTGGATGAACTAATGAATTGCATGTTATGTGGATGAAGTGCCAATAAAACTTAAAAAAAGCAGAGACTGTGCATCAAGATCGGAGGAGGGCTCATGAACCACCTTTGGGATGCAGACGACGTAGCTTGCTTACTAAGAGTGAAGAGGACTTGAAGCTCTTACTGATCACAACCAAAACTACAGTGCTGAGTACGCACTGCACCTTAAGGTAAACAAAAACCCTCACTGCTGACGCAGCAAACTGCAGCCCAGTAAATGGAGAAAAAATTGAATTTCACTCTATTCGGCTCCACAATCAATACTCATAGAAATAGCAGTCAAAAAAAAAAAAGAAACAGCAGTACAACAATCAAACAACAGATTGCACTGGGAAAGTCTGCTGCAAGATCAATTAAAAATGGTTAAAAAATGGTAAAAAAAAAAAGCAAACGTGTCACTTTAAGGACAAAGGTGCACCTGATCCCAGTCATGGGATTTCCAATCAGCTCATCTGCCTAAGAAAGCTGGACAATGACTAAAGAAGAAGAACAGAAGCCGGTGAGTTACTGTATGGGTGAAGAATGTGGAAAAGTACCACCGTCCACTACAAGAACACATCTGTCCTGAGGATGTACTTTGGAATTGTTACCAAGAGGAACCAAGACCTGAGATGAGCTGGATTGAAACGGCGGCTGCAACAACGGGGTCAAACACAGTCACGACCGTGGGGAAGGTGCAGGCCCAGGCAGTGTCTCATCCCGGTGCCCACGGGGCTGCTGGGAGTGGTCGGCACGGACTCAGTGGCACCTGTCCATTAACAACATGGAGAGCAGTGGTTCTCAACCTTCCTAACGTGCGACCCTCATGTGGTGGTGACGCCCCAACCATAAAATTATTTCCGTTGCTACTTCATCACTGTAATTTTGCTACTGTTATGAATCCCGGTGAAAGGGTCGTTCGACCCCCAAAGGATGAGAACCGCTGATCTAGAAGGATGGTGAAGAGCAAGGCTAAATCTGTAACTGGTAAAGCAGCAGTTATTTATTTTAGCCGGGACAAAGCGATTATTTGGTCACTTTTTGTAGTATGGGCAATGTTCAGGTTTTTGCCTGTGAGCAGACATGATAGGAATCTTGTTTTTGTCTTGATCCATTCTGGTCTCGGAGCAAGCAGACTGGTCTCGAGCTCCGAAACTTTGAGACGACCAGGAGCTAGCTGACCGCCCCAGGCCAGCCTCCAGACAGCAAGGGTGGCTTTGGCCTTTCTCACTTCCCATGGGTATCCAAGGGATGTTTTGTCCTTTATGGACTCAATTTCAAGCTGATAACTAGCCCCAGTAATCATGAGCATCATAAAAATGTCAAGATGGAAGTTTAACAAAGCGAATCTCTTTTCTGTAACTTAGCTATATCCTTGCTGAGGTAATTTAAAACACAAAATGAAAAACTTAAATGAATTCTGAATAGTACCTTCTACTCGTAAATCACAGAGGCCTTAGATGTAGTTTCTTCAAGATCTACTTTAACACTGCTTGAGAATTGTCAAGCTTCGGGAAAATAAATTACCAATACAGCAGGAGTCACATTTGCTAACAGAGCAAATCACTACCTGAGGCAGTTGCAGGAAGGGAAATATAAGCACTGGCGAGATTAAAGTTTCCAGTCCCTCTCTAGTAAAAACAACAGCAACAACAGGATGCCAAGTTCACTGATAAATAAACTCTTCACCAACAGGAGTTTTAAATAGATACACACTTCTCATCTCATGAGAAAGCAGTAATGAACTTAGAGACGTGGTGATGGCAGCCAGGAGTTAAAAAATGGCCTCTTTAAGTTCTTCCCCAGTAAGTAGGTAATCATAGAACCACCTCGGTAGATCACCCCGACGTCTACCCAAATTCCCGTCCAGAGAACACCAGACTCTTCCCGCATTGTCCAAGGGCCAGCCCCTCACTCACCTGGTTTCTGGTCAGGTTCGGGCCAAGACTTGCGCAGAACATGGACTGTGGACCCAGGTTGAATGCCGTAGAAGTCAAGGGTTTGGTCATCTTTTAGCTTCCGCCCACAGTAGATCAGATCTAAAAAAAAAAAGGAATAGTTTGTATTTTGCTCCTCAAAACAATGGAGATAGTTAGTCTCTGTCCTCAGAGAACCTTATCTTGATTGGCCAGATAGTGGAGAAGGAAGGACACATGCTCAAAAGGTATTCAACTTTACTTAACAGCTGTTCTTGAGTACGAGCTCACCAAATGAAGGTACACACAGTCTGCGCACAGAAATAATCTTAGAGCTTAACACTATGGGGATTGCTCACCTTACACAAATGGAAAAAAAAATTCAACAATAAAAAAGTATAGCTGGGTGTTGGGGGGAGAGGGGCACAAAGCTCCCGGGGCTAGTTGGGTCCCTTACCTTTTAAAAATTATAACGATTGGGGGCTAGCTGAATCTCTGAAACTACTGGCTTGAAATAATCTTGAAAACAGAAGACAAAACTATCCTCTGAGATGTGCATTTAGCCAAACTAGAGAAACATGTCTTCCTGGAGCATCTCTTTACCACCATCTATATGGGATCAAAGGGATTACAGCAACGGGGAAGATGAGATGACAACCTTAAGAGAACAGTGTGTGCTCACTGGGCAAGAATCGTTCACAAAGAAGGCGAGAATGGTTTTACCAAACTCAAAGGAAGTCATCAACTCCCCTGAATTGTGTGGTTGGATTGGAGTATCAGGCAGATTCAGAACGGTTGTGGGGAAATGGATTGAAAATGAGGACATTTCGCACTAATTTTTTGAAGGCCCTTTGTATGTTTTGCTGTGCACATTTGCAATGACAAAAAAAACTGACGCCAAAACTCCTTCCTCCATCAGGAATGTCCTTGCCATCTTCATTTCCTTTTTCATTACCTTCTCGCTAACCAACTAACCAAACAAGCACCCTTCTAGTCATTCCTTATGACCTACCTCAAATGGCATATACAGGGAGCCTCCACTGGCCAGCCCCCTCCTTCCTCCCCCACTTAAATTGTATGCACCTTCAGAGAAAAAAGTCCAACCATGTTCAGAAATTGTGTATAAAGTAGCTCAATATATGTCACAGAAATGGCAACCGACAGTTTTAGTGTATGATTATTTCTGTCCGCCTAACACTCATTTCCCTGAACAGATGCAAGGCCCTCTGTTTATTCTGGGAGCAACATGAGGCTTTCTACCCCTGTACAGGGGAACAGCCTCAGAAACCCACAAGGGCTGTTCTACCGTGTCCTATGAGTCAGAACCGACACGTGAGTGTTTTTTGGTTTGGTTTTTTAATTAACACCTGTAATTCCGCCCCAAGAGAAGCCAGACCAGCTGCTGATCCTAGTCTGCAGAGACTCACCAATCAGCTCAGGGTCTGGAACAGATTCCTGGAGTTTTCCAGCAATGAGCTGCTTCAGAAATGAGATACTATAGCCCCCCAGTGAGTATTCTCCCAGCTCTGTCTCTGGCAACCGAAGGATGGACTTTGGGGCAAGTGGCTGGTCAGCCAGCTTCACCGCCAGATGCCAGTCTGAGAGAGACATCCTCTCTCTTTCGCGCTCTCTCTTTCTCCCTGTAAAAGAACAAGGTTTCAGTGGTTACTTCTTACTTCTATCCACCTACCCCAGCAAGCGACTGAACGAGGGAATCTTCATTTCCTATTGGATTGCCTCACACTGTAGCACTCTTATCAGAAAAAGCACGGCAGGCAGCACAAGAGGCCAGCGTGTCCTCTAGTCTCCTCTGATCCCACCTGCGATGGGAGGTAAGCCCTAACAGCTCTCTATGCCTCGGTTTATCCATCTTCACAAATCTTCACAGTAAGAACACAAATCAACATAACAGGGATATTGTGAGGTTCAAATAAGATCGAACCCTCTCCCTTCTGTAAATGTCCTTATTTCAGGCCTTTTTCCTATCAACTCTTGCTTGAAGTCTTAGAACAGCTTTCTAGCAAGTCCTCAGATTCTTGCCTTCCCTCTAACAAGTACCCATACAGTCTCCCATGTCATCATTTTAAAGCAGATCTGATTGAGTCCTCTGCTTACAATGCCTCCAGACCACCATTGTGAATGATTCTAAACTCGACAGCCAGCCTTATAAAACTCCTCCTATCCGTAACAGAGCCAGCCCTGTCCCCACCCCCAGCATGTTAAGTGCACTGCATGAAGTTTCTATTTGTGAACAAAGGTCTCACCTTATTTTACATCTTTTCCCTCTTGGGCGTCTTAGCAAACTACTACCAAGACCAACCCAAACACAACCTCCTCTGCCTCCTCTTCCTCCCTAGGCTCTCCCTCCTCTGCAGTTCCAGAATCCCCTCTCAAGGCAAAGGGCCCAAATACCCGAGTCTTCTCAGTCCCCACGGCAATTCTGGGGGTCTTTTCAGTCCCCACGACAAATCTGGGGGACCCTTGTAAATAAAAACTTTTATTTTTGTCTTATTGTCCCAATTCCTGGCACATAATGGATGCTCAAGAAGTGAATCAGAAACTCCTACGGTTGAAGAACCGTTTAGGACAGGACAAGCCCTCGCTTGCCTAAGTCATCATCCCTGCTGACAGGGAGGCTTCCGGTGAGGGAATGGTACCAGAAGGGTACCACACATCCTCAAGGTCCAATTCATCTCAAGGGTAAACGCAGTAGAAGGAATAGATCGTTTTGGACACCCTAGCTCACTGAATCCTCACAATTGGCATTATCAGCCACATTTGAGTGACGAGGGAACCACGACCCCAAAAGGCGACGTCATTGGCCCAGAGTCCCACAGCTAGCTAGCTCGTCGTGGGGCAGTGACACCTGCACACCGTAGAGCCATCTAACTAAAGGACACAGAGAAACCCACCCCGCAACCCGGGGCCCGGCGCCCTCACCCGTTCCGCGGAAGGAACCCGGCCGCCGAGCCGCCGGTGTAAACACTCACGCTGGCCCTCGCCGGAAACAGGAAGTGCCCCGAAGCCGGCATGCTGGGAGTTGTAGTTCCCGCTGCTGCCCCGCCTCTAAAACTAACCTGCGGGCTAGGCGTGCCCGGGCGGAGCTTCCGGTTCCGGGAGAGGCGTGGCGTACGGAAGTTCTGGCGCGAGGATATTCCCGTGTTTCCTCTGGAAAGGCTCCTACTTCTTGTCACTTCCCGGTTACGCTGGTCCAGAAAGGAAGACCTCGTTTGGGTTTTGAAAAAGCTATGAAAGGCCTCTGTGATTCTTACGCTTTTAGAAACATTATGATCTGCCGGTTATGCCGTGTTGTAACAGCGATGCCGGGTGGGAACGCCCTCCCCTGATCGCTGGCGCTGATCCCCAGCCAGGAGGGTCACTTTTCAACCAGAAAAGAGCGGCATTTTCAGCCACCACCACTGACCACACCAACTGTTCCCTGTAGCTCTCAGGAGGAAGACGGATGCCCTCAGGGTGATGTCTGCCTCCTGTTCTCCTAGCCCCTGACTTCTTGCTCTTAGCCAAAAGGTCGAGAAGCGATGCCACTGACTTCTTGCGGCGAGTTTTTCTATGGGAACATACCTGGAACCAAACGAGGATTACTATCGGCCCCCTTTGGGCTCCTGTGCGCACCCAACGTGCATTTGTAGGGTTCTATAACGGATTCATAGAATCCGTTTGGGAAGGAAGAGTTCCGCTGAGCTGTCATCAGCTGCATATTTTAAATGGAAAAAAGTTCCATCTGGTTAAGATTCGTTTGTACACGAACATTCATTGGGATGAACTAAACCGTTGAAGAAGGGCTTTGTCTGATTAGATTATGTAGTATGTAAATCAAGGACTAAGGAAAGTTAAAAATAATGCGCAGGTGGATATAAGAAAGTAACAAGGATGCTCAGAGGCGCTAAAGGCACAAAAGTAAACAACCCTTGACTACCCCAGGGCAATAGGTGAGCAGGCTAGGCTGGGCGTACCTAACTTCAGCATTGCAGGTGGATCACCCTCTGCTGTTTTCCTGAGTGATGGGAATGGCTTGCAAATCTGTCTTCAGGCAGGTGAAGCCCAGGTTCTTCGGATTATCCATTCCTCTAGGCTCCTTCCCTTTTTAACTACTAAGGCACTGCCATCTGAACTGTTATCATGTAGTGCTATTAACATCTCACTGTTACACTCAATTGATACTGTGTCATAACTACCTGCAGGAGAAGACTGGAACCCAGTCCTCACTTCTGAGTTCCTCAAAGAAGTACTGAATATACGCAAATAACTCACTGCCACCCAGTCCATTCCCACTCAGCAACCAAAACCTCTGGCTTTGATCTGTTTCATTAAAAGCTCCACCAAGAGATCGGCAAGAACCTTGTCCTCTACTTTTATCAGCAGCAGTTGACCTGGCCTGCCATACAGTAGGTGAACACTAGGTGTGGAACAAATAATTCCAAACAAAGCTACCAACCAAATGGAGCTGTCTTGCTGGAAGAGGAAGTAGGCCTGTTCAGAAACACTGCAGTGATCATTATTAGATGAGCAAATGAATTAACAGATAACCCAGGACTAAGTTATGCAATAGAAGCTGTTCTCTGAAGCAAGGATCAGATTCTAGAAGAAATGCAAAGCCTAGACACAAGACAAAGATAGATGACCAGACTCATGTAGTCAGACAGAGAAAGTGTTTTCTTTTGGGGCCCAGGCCTTTGAGCCAACCCACACTTAGAAGTATTGACCCTCACCCACTCTTTTTACATTTTATTCATTAAACCTTCAGTGAGCACAAGAAGGAGGAAACTGTTCTAAAACTGATTGGGGGCATGATTGTAGAACTCTTTTTAAATCATTTTATTGGGGGGGCTCTTACAGATCTTATAACAATCCATAATTCAATTATATTAAACACATTTGTACATATGTTTCCATCATCATTTCTAACACATTTTCTTTCTACTTGAGCCTTTGGTATCAACTCCTCTTTTTTCCCCTCCCCCCCCCAACTCTTTTTCAGTTATGAGTTGAACTACTGTATGATTGGTGAAGTATATGCCGAAAAACCACCAAAAAAAACTTCAAGAGCGTATTTGAGCTGGCCAGTCGCTCTCTCTCAGAACACAAATTGTAGGAACGCACATATCTTGAAAAGCGCTTCTCTTTATCTGTTTATAAAACAATGGGAATTTCTAGGTCTGGCAAGATAGCAGATGAAGATGGTCTTCGTTCAAGCACCCTCAAGTGTCAGATAAAATAAGACCGATTCTGACTCCCAGCCACCCCACCCACGTACGCCAAGAGTAGAACTGTGCTTCATGGGTCTTGCGGTGGCTGCGCTTTCAGTAGATCAAGAGGCCTTCCGAGTGGCTCAGACCTCTACTCTTTCAGTTTGCAGCTGTCAGTGTTAACCATTTGCACCCTTGGGAAACTCCTTATAAAATAAAGCACTCATTTTAAATCACAGAACTAGGAACACAAGAAAGAAAGGAAGGCAGAAATGAAGGAGGAACTGAAACCATGAGCCTGGGGGCTGATGCAAACCTCCTCAGAGAGATTAGTGGTCCCGGAAACCTGGCTCTGGTTTTGCTGCTTTGGGCCCCTCGGGGGTTGAAATGATGCCCCCCAGTAACAGAGGAACTTGTACCCTAAGAGGAAGGAGAGGGGGGAGGGGCAAAGCATGTGCAGAACCAAAAAGAAGAAAGTTCTCTCTGCTTGATCCTGAGTGAAAGATAATAGAATGAAAAAATCACGTTTTGTTGTTTTGGGGTTTTTTTTAGTCATCCTGGACCATTGGAAATTCCAGCCCTGTGCGCTGTGCAATTTGGGCATCAAAAATTCCAGTGTTGTCTAGAAACCTTTAAGATTGATCCTGGAGCTATTGCAAAGCACAAATATAAATCTTCCCTGGAGCAACACTACAAAAGCCCACGCCATGCCCTGTCCAGCCTAAAGGAGAGTGAAGAACATCAAGACACATAGAAACAATGAGTCCAGTGAACTAATGGGCCAAATGAACAACAGCCTCCAAGACGCGGAGACCGGGAGGAACGGGATGGTGCCTGCTACCACTACCAAGTGCTCTCAAAGGGATTACATTAGAATGTCCTGGACAGAGTGGGGGGGCGGGAAAGTGGAACAAAGCTCAAAAGTATAAAAAAAGACCTTTAAAAAAAACCTGACTGGTTGGATAGAGATAGGTCAAACTCCTAAGACTATGAATCTTGGTCACCATTTAGGTCTGGAAATGCTCTAGCTCCATTTTAAGCCAAACAATAGGCAAGACTATAAAGGAAACAATGTTCTAGGGGGGTATACACACCTTAGAATACAACCAGCTGAGATCAAAAGAGCAGCATTTACTCAAGGCCCAAGGACCCAGTTTGGAGAGACTAGGAGAGGAGGAGGGATGGACACAGGAAACACAGGCAGGATATGGGATGGGTGACGTAACACGGTGAGGATTACCGTCAGTGAGGTGAAACCAAATGTGTATGAATTGTTGAATGGAAAACTGACTTCTATAAACCTTCACCTAATTGACAATAAACTAAAAACAAAGGAAAAACATGCCACTGGACAGGGGAAGAATCAAGATGATTTCCCACAATGAATTAATAAAATCTCGTGGAAATAATCCAATGTTAGAGACAGCAGAAAAACAAGCAAGATAGTCACCCGACCAAGAAAAAGTCAAAAAAGGAAACAAAGCATGGTGAATGCATTACAGGTATTAAAAAATATATCAACAATATATCTCAACCCTTTAATCTGCTGCACAAGACCTCTTTAAAGTGTTGAAAAGCAAGGCTGGTACTTTGAGGACTCCGGTGCACCTGGCCCAAACCATGGTGTTCTCAAGTGCCTCCTATGCGTGTGAAAGTTGGACAATGAATAAGGGAGACTAAAGAAGAAGCAATGCATTTGAATTATGGTGCCGGCGAAGAAAATTGAAATTACCACGGGCTGCCAAAAGAACGAACCAAACTGTCTTTGAAGAAGTACAACCAGAATGCTCCTTAGAAGCAAGGATGGAGAGACTTCGTCTCATGTACTTTGGACATCTTATCAGGAGACATCAGTTCCCGGCAAAGAGCATCATGCTTGGTCAAGCAGAGGGAGAATGAGAAAGAAAAGACCTTCCACTCAGTGGCTATAACAATGGCTCAAACATAAGAACAATTGTGAGGAGGGTGCGGGAGCAGGCAGTGTTAGGTTAGAGGTACACAGGGTTCTGACTCAGAACTGACCCAGCAGCACCGAATAACATGTGTACTTGGTTGTGGTACCGAGTTGCTCTTGTTGTTGTTAAGTGGGATTTGGAGAGAGTAAAAACAAGGCCACTGCCACCATCTTCTCAGAACCCTTCACTCCAAACTTTCAGTCTTTAAATAGTATTCCAAACACAGCTCTCGTCAGCAGTCTGAGAGTATCTACTCTCCACACTTGTTCAACTGTGAACATCATCTTTCTTTAACCCATGACTATCTGATAGACTTGAAAAGTGGATGATTTAAGCATTTTGTCTTAAAATCATGACAAGCAGAGAGTTGTCACTGTTGTGCCTACTGGTCAATGGTCTTAGTTGCAAAACAACAGAAATGAACGCTTAAGCAGAAAAGGAATATATTGGAATGGTACCATAAAGATGACAAAACCAGTGAGACTAGGCTTCAATAAGGGCCAAGGGAGGCTAGGCTGGCCCAGAACTAACCTTAGAAAGAGTGTACCTCAGTTCACCCAGAGCAGTGGTTCTCAACCTTCTAAATGCCACGACCCTTCATACAGTTGCTCGTGTGGTGGTGACCCCCCAACCATAAAATTATTTTTGTTGCTACTTCTTCACTGTAATTTTGCTACTGTTATGAATCGGGCAACCCCTGTGAAAGGGTCGTTGGACCCCCAAAGTGTCATGACCCACAGGTGGAGAACCATTGCAGTAGCTTCTCTCTACACGTGTGACTGGTCCGCATAAGTACATTATGGTGCCAACCCTGTCACATGCACCTATATTTGTATGGGGTGTATGTGATGGGGTTGGCAT